GATTCCGGTTGAGTTTGTTACTGAGGTTGGGGTGCCGATGGAGGTTGGGGATGAGGTTATGGGTGTGGGTGGAAGGAGGTGGAGGGTTGTTGAGAAGAGTTTGGTTTAAGAGGTGGAATGTGGTGCTACACGACAGTCTTGAATTTGAGTGTCTATAATTGTCGAAAGTGGCTTCTTGGCTTGAGGCATGGCCGCTCTGCCGCAGCCGTGCCATCACGGGCCGCTCTAAGGCTGAAGTCTAAACCCCCCGTAGCTGATCCTTGGCGGTCAGATTGGGAAGTCTTGCCTAAGCCGTGTTGAAGTCTTGGATGGAGTCCTAGTTGCGATCTGACTGTCAAACACCGATGAGTCAGCACTGGCGTCGCACGCCCAATGGATGGCCGGTTTCAAAATGTAGGTGGCTGACAATATTGGACTGACGGAGAAGCCATACAACGTCAAAAGCTTCAAAATGTCCATAAAGCTGCCTATAAAGCCAGAAAATATGAACTTTTGATCATCACATTCCATCCATTCATTCTCTTTCAGGTTATCATCCACAAGAACCAACGCTGAATCTGGCATTCGGCTTCCTCTCTTTACTTCGATCTTTTTGTTAACGGCGCCATTAATCTATTCAACTCAAAATGAACCCTTACCAGCAGCAGCAACAGCAGCCCATCCCTTACAGCAATTTCGGCACCACTGGCGGTCACGTAGCCTCCTACAATACCGGAAGACACGCCCAAGCTAACCCAGGAACGCAAAGCTTCAGCGGCTATGGCAATGGCGTTGCCTACGCCCAGCCCATCCCTCATGCCTCCCAGGCCGCCTTGACCTCCCACTTTGCAGACAGCGCCCGCACCCAAGTCAACTACGCCCGTACCCACAACGGCCGTCCAGGCTCATCCGCCGAACGTGAACAATACCAAAACATCCCCTCCAACATCCAAATGCCCGGTGCAGCAGCCACCTACGTCGCCCCCGGAACAGTCTACGGCGGGCCTGGGAACTCTGACCCGAGACATGGAAATGTCATGTATGCTTCTACCTCGCTGAAGGGCAACCCCCCAGGACCGACACGGAACAATCACGCACGCGTGGCGCCTGCGTTGAACGGTGCTGTTCCGGCAAACCATGACAAGAAAAAGAAGTGTGCCGAGCCGGCGGTGTTTAGCAACTATGCATATGACCACAGGGGAACACAGGCGCAGAACATGGGTGGGAGTGTCTATCCGATTACTACGAATGGCAACACTTACTTGCCGCCTTGTGGGCATGCCAACCCGAATGTCAAGCCTGGTTGTAGGCATTGTGTGGCTGCTATTGGGGCCACTTCTCGATCTTAAGTCTTGAAGAGAGATGTTTGGGGTTGACGGTGTTCGGGGATTTGTTCACACTGGAGTTGGGAGCTGAGGGTTAGTGTACTAGGATGAGGGTTGGGGTACTAGATATACGCGCACCTGGGCTTGGTGGTGTTAAACTCAAAAGTCAGGTAACCAGCCACGGCGCACAGACAATTTACACACTTTTGGATTTTGCACGCCTGCACAGACCAATATCTTCCATCTATCAATCCATCCAAACCCTCCCAACTTTTGAAAGTTTTCTTATTTTTTTCCCTCGCCCTCCGGGGCATTCGGTCAATTTGAAACAATACAGAGAAAATTAGCATGGCACCTGGACCAAGGATGACACGCTACTCAAAGAGACGCTCCCAATTTTTTCATCACGATCGTGGTTATGCTGCGATATGGGGAAGAACTTGCGTTGGAAAGTGGATGCTGTGTTGCTCACGCGACCTGACGTTGGTGTTTACCTCCACCGCCCTGTTCTCTATACAAATCTAGATAACCTCAATCTTGACGGTCACTCCCTTCATCACCTTATCTTTATCCAACGAAAGCGTGTACACCTTCTTGTCCTCCGCAGTTCCATTCCTCGAAAACACCGTCCCATCCGTCGACTTATCCCCCCCACCTTCGCCTCATCCACCACCCTGCCACCAATCTTTCCAAACCACCCCATCACCGTTGCGAACCTAAGCAGAAACCAAAAAGCGCACCAGACCAACCCCCACACAAACGCAGTAGCTCTTTCTTGAAGAAATTTCTCCTTGTCCGTCATTGGCGTCCCATTGTCTTTTAGTACGCTTCCCGTCGGTTTATCAGACCTCGTTAGCGGAGAGACAACATGAATGTTGTCGGCGAAATGCTCCCAGTCGTTGAGGTAGTAGCGTTCGAGATAGAGGTGGACGACTCAGGGGAGGTCGTTGACGAGGAGCATCACCCAGAGGTAGCACTTTAGTAGTGTGACGTCGCGGGAGCGAGGGATGATGAAGGTGAAGAGTGTTTGGAGGAGGGTCAGGCGCTCGACGTGGATTGGTTGGAGGTTGGGGACGGAGGAGAAGAGGTCCCTGAGGAAGCAGAGGGGCTCGATGATGCCCCAGAGGAGGTAGGGGATTTTAGGGAGGGCGAGAGGGGGGGTTTGGGTGGGGGTCATGGTGTCCTGGCCAATTCTGCTGGGAGAGGTTTTGTTGAAAAGCTGGTAGTAAACTTGGGGAATATGAAGCCGATGTATTCCAAAATGGAGAGTGATAAAGGGAAAGAGCAAAGCGCCAATGTGAGCAAAAGTGCCGCTACTGACGGACCAGGTCATAGCCTGGCGCCATGCCTCATTGATCAAATATCAGTATTGGAAGCCACTGCTGAACTTGAACGCTGCTGTATTTCTGAGTCTGAGTATAAAAGGAAGTTTGTACAGAATACTGATGATTAGTGATATCTTTGTTGGTATCCCCCATTTTGTTGGTATGGGCTGGCAATTGGCGACACGTGATGCCACTCTACGACCTCAGGATCGGGCTGGCTCATGCCGGCCGGCTTCAGGTTGGTGATGCTGTGGCTTTCAAACGCCATGGGGGAGCTGCCGTAGCTCTCCTCATCAACACGCGTGTCAAGAGCGTCACCATATGACTGCACCATGCGGACAGAGTCTTCCTGTCCCTTGTATCCCGAGGGCGGGGCTGATCCGCTTGATGGTCCGGACTGTTTATATGGGGCGGGCTTTTTGTTGGAGACGAAGAGCTGGGGAAAGGCTGTGAGACATGCGACGATAATTGCTGGTGGTCTGGTTAGCATGGGGTGTTTGGTTCTCTAAAAGAGTATAGATCAGCCTACCAATGCAAGTTTCGATATAACTCCACAGCCACACATAGCTCGGATCAACCTGACCATTTGCCCAGGTCGCCGAGCTGATGCCAACTACCCTCAGAATGGCAACCAACATTGTGAGAAGTGTGAGGGAAAATAGTCCAATGACGGCCAGCTTTTTGGCCATCCGAAGTTTGGAGTCCCAGATCAACATGACAGGAATGGACAAAACTGTCATTGTTAGCACCCGCAAGCCAGACAAGCTTGAGATGAAAACTTACCGGCAGCATCAGACAACACATCCAAGGCACAATTAATCCTGAGCGTTAGGTTGGCATACTGGATAGCCGGAGGCTCAGTACACTGAGCCATGATATCAAAGCCCTTCGCAACCAAGCATCCCCACTGAGAATCGCCGATGGAGGTAAGCCATGTTGCCACCACAAATCCCAGGACCGACCACCAAGCGACTCTGATCTTTGTCATGTGCCAACCAATCCTCCTAAAGAAAAGGAGAAGCGAGAGCTTCACACAAGCCAATGTGCTGTAAAAGAAGACCTGTTCGACAAAAAAGACCCGCATGGTGATTTCGACATCCTTCATGAACTGTTGCAGGTCTGTTGGAAAGGCCGTCCCCGATCCTACAGCTAATATAAACCAGAACTTCGGTGCTGCCCATTGCCACAGTGCTGATGCTGCGATAACGAAAACGGTGCCGAATATGAGGACGGTGTCATCCCAGAACAGTCGACGTGTGGCTCTTAGGCGGGTGTAGAGGCGAACACTGAGAAAGATAGCAGCTATCGAGGCGGCCGTCCAGGAACCTGCCTGTATGCACAAAGAGGCGTCAGCTATTGTGGAAAGGATTTGGGTATGGAAGCGAGCATAACCGAGCGGCCGTGCAACGTGGGCTGCTTGCTTACCATGAAATTCGTCACAGGGACGGCAGCTGGTGAGTTGAGCTTCTGGCTCGCTGAGAGTTCCATGATTTCTGCTGTCCTCGAAGCTTCTGTAGGAACCCAAATTCTCCAGGAAGAATGATCGTCACAAGACTGAGATGTTGATCCACTGCTCGCTGCGGCAGAATGAGAAAAGAAGGCAGAGTTCGGAGCTCGGGAACGCGCGGACCAAGGCAAGATATTGCGAGCAATGGATCGAGCTGAACGGCGCAGGCAAGGAACTAGCAACGATTTGCAGGGAAGAGCAATCTCGTGGTCGCTTCCAGCACCCGACCTACACAGATGGCTGCGGCAAGGAGGTGGAACGTCCAAAGTCTCGTCCGCCAAAAAATTCCCCGTTGGGGAACTATGCTTCCCCCCCAGATCGGTGCATTGTTGATATGGTGGCATTCGGCCGAGATTGAAATGTGCAAGTGTTGTGATGGGGGCTAAAAAAAGGTGATGTTGGCGGCACAGTCTGGCGAGGATGGTGGCACAGCACCTGCATAGTTCCGACGACCAATGCCCCGGGCCTCATGGAGCATGGAGGAAGCGCCCGTTCAAGAACAGTGCTTCATGTTTCCCCAGCCCGTAAGCACTACACCATGCAGTTGGGTTGTCCGGACTGGGTTGCAAGATAAAACCGGTTGTTGCCGGTTGTTGGTGAGATAGAAAGCAACACAAAGCTCGGTGCTGGTCTCTCGAGCAAGAAAATGGGTCAAGCCTTGCGAATTCATCAACTCTCGAATAAAAAGCAAGAAGGTTTCCCATATGTTGGGCGGTATATTTGCTGATTCCGTGGACATGGCCCCTGGGTTCCTGAGTCTTGTATGCTTGCCACTGCAAACAACCAACATACCACCTACATCATGCCTGTTGGGTGACTCGACACTGAAAAGCATCTCTCACCGGGACAACTTCCAAACCTCTTGCTCAAAACAAGCCACAAAAACACCCAACGCAAGCGATACGTGCGGTGCCTAAAGCGAAACTCTGCCAACCCAAAAGAAACTTCCTCAAGTCCCCACAATGTGCCCGTTGGATACCTCTTGTATAACATTCGGCCTGATCAGAGTACTTTTGATGGCGCTGCACATTTTTGACACATGCCAGTGCAACTTTTATGGCATATTCCATCAGAGAGATTACTCCTCCTTCGACTAAAAATGCCAATGCAGATCGTCGATTATCCTTTTGAACTGCCAGACTTCGGGAGGCCATAACGCCATTGGAGCCTTCGTATGGGCCACGTGAAGACTTTTGATTTCATCTGCTTGAAGTCGAGACAGTAAGTTATTCCCGTAACGAAGATAGAGATACCTACCGAAGAATGATTCCCTGAAGACATTCGTAATCACGGGATCTTTATTGTCTCTTTTTCTGAGGGCGAGTAACATGGCAGCCGCGGGAACGGTAAAGTCGAACTTACCCGAAGTGAATAGTTTGCCCAGCCTGATGGCGAGAAAGGCTTCTTCCCTTTTTACCAATATGTATAAGCCGTGAACATTACGATGCATATGATTAAGTGTCAGCGCCTGCCGCAGCGACAGGATGCCCCCATCTTCAACCAGAGACTTCCAGCGCCACTCTTCACCGAGTTCCAGAAGCAAATAAAACAAGCCCTAGTCAATGAGTGCACCGAGATCTGTCTGCACACAGGTACCTGAGATTTTCAGGTCACCTTGTGAGCGATATGCCCCAAAGTAATTCCCACTCTCACTACCGCTGTATCGAATATCATGCAGCCACCTGAGGGATTTGTCTCCTTCGTAGGTCTCGTACTGCTAGAAGTAGTTGAGTAGTTCCAGCTCGGAAATGAAGGTCGTCGAGGGTAGCTTTGTGGTATCGAGCATCAGAAGTTTGACTTGGTCTCGAAAATCCCGCAAGTGATCGAGGTGTTCCATTCTGTACACCGCATACTGCAGCGCGAAGAGAAGCGAGCTGCTCTAGCTTATAAAGTTGCAGTCTAATTCACACTGGAAGGTCAAATGGCTCCTCAGAAGTTCGGCGGTATGTCGAGGGTCGGTGAGCTTGTGTTGGAATCGCTTTCTAGTATGAGGGTAGAACGAGGCGAAGATATCCAGCTGTTGGGACTCCCGTGAAAGTTCCGTTGTGCAACGCGGGCGGACGTAGCCGTCAGTTGTTTCTCCGTGGGATTTGGGTGTAAACACGCGAAATAGATATCGTGGAATATGCTCGCTTCAGAAATTTCGGAAGAAATCGTGTGTTCTTGGTGGAAGAGGGTCGAAGGAATTGGATCTTGTAGCATGGTGTCGCTTTTTCATGGGCCGTCTCCATGGTGACCTTGTCTAAGGTGCTCGACTTGTGCGAAGGCCTGCAGTGATTCTTCCTAGGTGTTGAATGAATGGAGAAGAAAAAGAGGTGAGACTGGGGTAAGCCAGGTTGCACTCAGGTCAATGGAAGAACTTAATGGAAGAACCTTTGGCTTGATATGTGTGGAAGGGAGTGGAAAAGACAAACAAAGCAGCAAACGCAAACGGTGTATCATCGGCTAGGTGCCTGAATGGCACGTATCTGGTAGCAGGCCACACACTCGGTCCAATAAAGTTGCGTCACGAATACTAATACCTGCGCACTTGGTTGGGCTTAGACCGGTTGCTGTAAATAAGCTAACAAAAGAAAAAAGCATTGGTCGGTATCGCGCTTCCAGTCCATGTCAACAATCACTAAATCGCTATAAACTATGTTTTAGCGCCTTTCAACTATCCTTTAACACCCTTTTAACTATCTTTTAAAGCTTTAAATTACCCTTTAAGCATTTTTAACTGTATTTCCACGTCCTTCAACTATTCTTGAAGACCTATTAGATATCCCTTAACGCTAAATAATGATCCTTTGAAACATAGTCAAATTCAATATGGATGGGGGGCGTTGGTTAGATAAGGTAAACAGAGGGCTTCGTAAAGGCTCTCTCCAAACAAAACAAAACGATATGCTTAATGACCCAATCCATGCCTTCAATTCAGTCTTTCAAAGTCCAACTTCACCCATTGCAGTCAATCTGGAAGATTATCAAAATCTCGCCTTCAACCCGGCACAAACTTAGGAAGAGCTATCGGTGCTGGTATGCCTTCGGTTAGTTCATGTTCGGTCCGTGCTGACATCCCAATGGCCCTTCAATCTGGGGAAGGGCACATGAGAGTGCACATAGGGCAGTGGCAAAGGACAGTGCTTGCTTACTCCGAGGGCAGGTCCAAATGCGCCATTGCGTCCACGATTAGATCGGTGGGCTCGTCGTGCTCCGTGTCATCATCAGAAAACATTCCATCCACATATTCCAAATAGTCAAAATGTTCTTGGATGTCTTGGATGAGAATCCTGAACTGCGTGACCTCCGGGAGCATCAGCTCGGTGGGAACGTTGGTCTCTACTAGCTGGTAGACATCGATGATATCAGCTGATGTAGGAAGTGGAAGTTAGTGTCTTTTTAGAGTCATCATAGCCCGCTCCGAAGAGATTATACTCACCGCGAAACTTTTCCTTGAAGACGCCGAGAATGACGGGGTCTTGCCGAATTCTTTGTTTGAGGGCAAGAAACATAGCAGCCGCAGGTACTGTGAGGTCCAAGTGACGTGAATGAAACAGTTCGCCAAGGTGGATGGCCTGGAGAACTTCTTCCGTTGAAGCAGGGTTATCCGAGCTGTGAAGCTTCCCGCGAAGTGAAATTATACCTCCACCGCGGACGAGATTCTTCCCCCATCGCCATTGCTCACCGAGCACTGGGACCAAGCGGAATAAGCCACGGTCTTTTAGTGACTCAAGATCCGTCTGCACGCAGGCACCTGCTATATTCAGGTCACCTTGCGAGAGGTACTCCCCGTAATAAAAGCCTTTCTTGTGGCAATCAAGCCGTAGGTTGAGCAACTCCTTCAAGGTCCACGGTTCTTCTTCCGACTGGCGTTTGTCGGGTCCGTAAGAAGCAAAGAACTTCAGAAGTTCTACTTCGGAAATGAACGTGCGTCGAGGCAACTTGGTGGTGTCGAGCAAGAGGACTTTTACATCTTTCCAATTGGTCCTAACTCCAGGAGCTACTTTGCCATTGGAGTCGCGACGATGGTCAAAATATGCGCTTCTGCAAAGCGCATAATGCAGGGAAAAAAGCAGCGAGCTGCTCCAACTGACAAACGGGCAATCTGAGCTAGCGTTTGGCCAACAGGCGAAGTTGAAATGTCTTCTCAGAAGCTTAGCAGCAACTGACGGATTGGTAATCCGGTCGGGATAGCGATGTGCAATGTCAGGATGGAACGAAGCGAAAATATCTAGACACTGGGGTTCCGGGTGCCCTGGGGCCGTTGTAGACAGTGGGCGAACGTGCGAGGTAGTGGTCTCGCCGCATGACTTTGGTGTGTATACACGGAAGAGATATCGGGGAATGTCGTTGCTCCGGAAGTATTGCAGATGGTCGTTTGGGATTGGAGCGCGTGGTGGATAAAATGGAAGACGCTTCTGAAGTGAGGGGATTGATTGGGGTTCCGATACGGGTTCAGAGTCCGATTGTAGCACGGCGGCTTGCACTCTCTCTGAAGTGTTGGTCGTTGAATGTAATGGCAGAGACTCTTCGACTGAGGGGCCGGATCCAGGTTCGGAGTCCGAGTCCGAGTCGGACATCAATGTCACTATTCTTCTAATGCTGCTCATTGTCGCGAATTTGGGTGAACCGAAGGATGAAAGTCGGCAAAAGTCAAAGGGTGAGTTCGATTCTCTTATACACAAAACGTGTCACACGGTAAAGGCCAACCTCCAGAGGCCACGACCAACAACAACGCCAAATATCATCTTAAGGAGGGGGAGCTGCACGTCGTGAGCCTCTCGTCAAGAGTAAGGCAGACAATCAGAGGCAAGGCGGGTATCAAAGGAATCCTATTGGCCCAGAGAGATATTGAAGGACTTGGCAGAGGCGTGAGGCACGAAGGCACAGACCATTTGACTGGAAATAAATACGCGTTCAAGATCACTGTATTACTCTGAGTTTTTCTTCATCATGGACTTCGAGGCCATTGAAGATTATTAGCCTGAATTGAACCATGAGTTCCAAGCTCTGATATTACAGCCCTTGTCACAAAACGAGAGGGCAAGCCTGGAACACGGCAGCAATTGCTTCAGTTCGGGCTCAAGCATTAGTACCCGACGATGAGGCTGTAGTTGACACTCTCCCAGATACTCGAGCCAATTACGATCGAAGCCTCCATGTTGTGCAAGGTGGCACATGCAAGACAGCATCCTTACCTATCCAGAGAGCAGGAGTTATCCATGTATCTGACTTCAGTCTAGCTAGAACTGCAAGACGACTTACGGCGTCGGAGTGAGGCCCATATGATGCTGGATTGTCCCTTCCCGTTATTATCTGGAATGTACACGGATTTGGGTTGTTCCGCCTGCTCGAAAGCCTGACCAGCAACTGCCTATCAGCGTTGTCAAGCACCGCCACAACGTTTTGCTCTCCAGCGAATAGTAGTCCCAGACCGCGATTATCATTGCGGCCCATCGCATATAACCCCGCATATGGTTTCTGCGTGGGACGTCCATGGCCTCGACCTCCTCACTCGATAGACAGACCCATCCCAACTTGACCGCCACCATGTCGTCACCCGATGATACAAACGACACGCTATCCTTAGTGTCATCATTCTACGGCCCTGGAAACATCAGCTGCTGGCTACTCACCATCGCTGCCGTGCTCGTGACATGGACGCTCAACCCGAGATCCCGCCAACAGGACACTATCACCCTGGACTTCATGGCCGCCCTCGCGATTCCATCAATCGCAGCCGGGCATTTGTTCTACCTTGTTTTCTCCCGTCAAAGCCATGATGAGCTAGGCGAGGAAGCACCATCTATCGACGGCGCCAATTTATTTACAAGCTCGTCACAAACAGCCATCCGGTATGCTGCCGCAGTAGAAGCGCCGCTCAATGTGTGTGAAACCTTCTCCAGTGTGGCTCTTACGATGTTTGTAATAGCGGCATGGAACGGGGGACCTCGCAGAGCTTTCGCTGTGGTGGTTGCCGGCCTATTGGCGTTTTCGACCGAGATCAGTCTCTTCATTCAGACTGCTGGCATCGAAGCAGCCACGTCGAATCTTGGCCGCCCATTCTTGTTCAACTCTCTCGTGACAATGGTCGTAATCCTTGTCATGTTGACCTTCTTCCTCGCGGTGCTGCTGATAATCGGAATCATGGCTGTCGACTTTAGACTCCGGAGACTTGTTGCTATTAGCGACGCAACCCGTACAGAAATGGAACAGACATTGAGCCTGAAGATAGCAAACGCACAACGAGTAGAGAGGCTCACGATGTGGCTTGCGATTATTCCTTCAGCAGTGTTTGCGCCGAGTGGCTTATTGGTCGCAATACTATCAGCCACCGGATGGCTTGAGGAGACAACATACATCGCTGATGAGCATGGAAAAACGAGGTTGTTATTCTTCATACCAAGAAGCATGGCCACTATTACCGAGTTGGACCAGGCGGTTTCCTTGGCTATAGGTATCTTGACGCTTTGCTTCAGCCTTTGGGATGCACTGAGGGTGAAATGGCAAGCTGACATAGAGAAACGGGGGTTAATCGATGAGGATCTAGCGAGTGATCAAGGCCTGACTGTCAGGAGCATACTCATGAGTAGCGCGGCAGGAAGACAGCTTTTAGAAAGAAACATGATGTAGAAATGAGACATCTCGCCCGCCCCAATATGCCCAACATAGGTGCCTTCTGCCTCCTGGAAAGCCTGAACAGTGGTTGTCCTATCACAGAGTGCGATGACCGCCGCCGCATGGTTCTCGCCCACAAAAACCAATCCCAGGCCATAACATTATCGTAAAGACACCAAGCCCAAGCTGATATAAACCCCACCATCACCTGCTTTTGCCCATCTTGTCACCGTACCCTTTCTAAGTCTAAACTCACCATACGATGTCTTCCCTGCCAAACACTGACGAGTTCTCCGACATCTCATCCCTCTACGGCCCAGGCATCCTGGTACTGCCTCCTAGCCTCCGTTACCATCACCTGGCTCTTCAACCACAACCACCGCGGCAAAGACACCCTAACCAACGATCTAATCGCAGCCCTTGCCTTCCCAGCCGTGGCATCAGGCCACGCGTTGCACCTCATCCTCTCCGCACCACCCTACCGATGGGAACAATACGGCTACTCTGACGAGTCACTTCAATTTCGTATCTGGCTCACGTGTCCCCACGACTTTGACACCGCGAGCATCAACCGGTACTACCGGGCGGTAGAAGCACCCCTGACTGTGTGTAACCAGTTTGTTCAGCTGGGAATCATTCTCTTGTTTGCAGCTGCTGGGACACGTCGGCCTTGGAGCGCGTCTTGGATCTTTTGCGTATGGCTGCTGACCATGTGGACGGAGTCGGTCATGTTGCTGAAGGGGGGTGTTCGGCTATTTTTCTACTACGTTCTGATGTCAACAGCGTTTGCATGCTCGTCACTTTGGCTGCATTTCGTTGACAAGTTTGCGTGGGGAATGAGGGGGGATGGTTCGTCAAGTCGCATCATCCCAGCGCATCGACTGGATATGTCTCGACTTTTAGACGCTGGCAAGATCGGCAGTTTCCTGATTTTACCTTTCAGTAAATTCTTGATTCGGTTCAAGGATGTTGTCCTGTCGGTGTGGAGGTTTCGTGATGTCAAAGGCGATCAAGACATTCTCCAAGAGTTTCAAGAACTGTGGTGTTCAGGCTGGGTTCGTGGCCCTATCCTTCTTCTGTTGTATGTGGCGAGCTTCATTGTGCCAGGATTATACGCACAAAGGGCTCCGTTTCTGGCCCGGGGGGTGTCGTTCTACGGCCCCAGAAGTCCATCGGCGATCACTGGCCTTGATCAAGCAGTTTCTCTTTCCATAGGAGTTGTGACCTTGGGTTTTAGTATGTGGAGTGCTGTCCAGTCGAAGTATAGACAGACTGCTGAAGAGGGCACGGGTCCGGCGGTCTAGAGCCATCGATTTGCATGAATGCTGGCAGATGGCCTATCGAAGACGAGGAGTGTTGAGCTTGATACTGGAATCAAAGCATTGGCGAAAGTATACCTTAATCACCTGGAAACGTCAATGCAAACAGCCCTTCGGGACGGCTTATGTTCAAAAGGGCAAGACGGACCACATTGAGGTGATAATATCACATGCAGCATTACCTTGTCCATCCTCGCCGCACGTCAAGACGTCTGTAGGCACGCCCAAGAAAGGAGTGCCGTGAGACTTCAAGACCCCTTCCCAAACGGCTCCCCAATGCAACCCAGGCACCCGCCAAGCTCACCCGCCAACTCAGCCTCCCGCACGCGGATTCCTCGCATATTGAGCCCCACCCGGAAGATCGAAAAAAAGACACAAGGTGCTGACAAGATCAGCTCTCCCACACCCTCCTCCCATGGAACAAGCACCCCTGATTGGCCGCCTTACTTCCCGGACCCGGAAAAACACCACTGCTGAATCATCTTCTGATGGAGGGGGAAAATCTAACTTCATGTGATTGGAGCGGGGAAGCTGAGCATCTTCAAACCCGTGCCTTAGCATTGACCAGTCCAAAATATAGATGGGGGCTTTCATGAGCTCTTCTCAGAATGGCGAAACCCATCAGTATGGTGGCGGCAAGGACATGCGGGTTCCTACATGGCAGCGCTGTAGAACCATTGCCCCGAAGAGAAGAATACGCAGGGAGAGATATTTAGTTGTAAAGCACGACCGGTTAGGTCTGATCGAGGTGATCATGCCGCGTAGAGAAGCTCCTCGACATGGCCACAATGCTGGTGTATCACAGTATCAGATGATCTGTTGGTGATTCCTGTTGTATGGTATGCTTCGCCGGTTCGATGATTGTGCGTTGACTGCGCAAGCGTTTTTGGGCCCTTTCATCCGGCCGTGGGGTCGAGTGCGTAAGGGGTTTGAGATTTGGGACGGAAAGATGAGGGCTGTTTTTGGCATGGTTGGTGGTTGTGACACACTGTGCCGCAACTGCTTCCTCTCTCCGGCTCAGCAACCCACCAACATCCCTGGGGCGAGGTGCTCGGTAGAGGTCGAGCTGGCAATCCGATTGAACCGCGGAAACCAGTGCCTCTCGCTAGATCTGCCTTGTTCCAAGAACCCGGGGTCGCGCTTGAAGCGAGACAGCTTTATTCGTCGTGAAAGGATGGCTTGGGCGGTTGCAAAATAAATGAAGGATACGCAGCATCGGGGCCGGCAGAGCCTCTGGCGAGATCTTAAGCAGATCGTGAGCCACATCCCCCACGACTGTGGCACCCGCTCTGGAGATCATCTATCCGTAAATCTTCGGCATCTCATGTCCGTTCGGGTCCCGCTGGCTGCAGGGCTTCGCAATCGCCACGCTGGCCGGGATGTCAGCTCCCAGTGCAGCCCATGGTGGCACGGCACCATTGGCTTCATTAACTTCCATATTTACGCCCCCGTGCTCCACTACCTGGCTCCTGACGACCACCAGGCTGCTTTCACAGTATCCGCCCTTCCCAACGGCCGGCCCAGCATCCTGTGACCCGCCCTCCTGGCAGTCCAACATCGCCGGCGGAGGTTTTCACTATTACTCTCCCGCTGTCTGCCCCGAAGGGTTCCATGTTGGTCCCAGTTGCGGTTTAACCAGGACAAGAACAGCCGAGAGTTTTCCTGCAGTCGAAAAGGGAGAGACTGTTGCATACTGCGTACCAAAGGGCCTTACTTGCACCACAGATATCACCGATTACCGCGGCGGCGTATGGGGTTATACTCGTGATGGAACAGCCTGGGGTGCTAGAGTAACAGTTGGGCCAGCAATCCAGATCCGCTGGGTGGAAGCCGACTTAACCTTGTTCGAGACACATCCCCTCACGCCGGGCTTGACACTCGTCAAAAGCGAAATGGGTGTTGCCACAGCTGTTACCCGGTCTTTCACCACCGTCATATCGATTGACGATGCCGACTCGACGAGCCTCATTATCGACACCACACCAAACCACGATGGGGGGCGAGGGCCTAGTATCGAAACCGGGGGGGCAGCGCCAGACACCAGGGAACCAGACACCGCGGCATCAAACGGGGGTAATACAAGCGGCTTTGTGATTGGAAACTTGAACCAGGGATCAAGCATCGTGGTGATGGTGGTGGTCTCACTCATCGGAGCACTCATCCTCTCGACGATAGCTTGGTGCTTGATCAGACGATATAAGCGGAAAAAGAGACTGGAGAAGGAGATGCAGCATTCCAACAACGCCACGCATCAGGAAGTTGGACGGCAACATCACCGGGCATATGCTCCGGGATCGTTGAGAAGAAGCGGACCGAGACTGGATCCTCGTGAGAGAATGCAGATGGATGCCCAAAAAGTACTGCCATCTGACCCTCCAATTGCCATGAAGAAGCACTTGCCCCAAACAGCCCTGAGGATTGACCCACAACAAAGGCCAAAACCGACTCCACGACGCGGATACTCCGAGCTCGATACCAGCTCACCAGCTCTTGGGAGCGCACCAAACCCCGCTGAGCTCGAGGGAGACACCATAGAAACACCAGCAAAACCATGGGTTGTCCACCAAAGATCGTGGCTAAGAAGCCCCTCTGTCTATCACCCTCTCCAATCTCCACGGTCTTTCCATTCTTCGAGGTCGGCGCGGCGGACGGTGAGAGAATCGTTCGGCGAAAAGGTCAACGACCCGGCAACAGCGCTGGGACGGCTGAGAATACCTTCAGCTGCAAGGTCGACAATGTCCAGGTCATCGCCCACCTCAGCCAGTCCTCGATCAGGGAGCTTCTGGCGGATACCGCGAAGCCCAAGGAGCCCCAGGACTCCAACAAGTACCACATTGAGCCAGCAAATACCCCGACCACAACCAATCAAGTCTGGTCTCAGCAATGAAACGTCACTGTCGAATACGCCGCCAGACATTCTTGAGCGGCGCGACGGGGAGGGCCCCGGGAGTGGGCATCATGATTCGAGGTGATAAGTCGAGGTTTCGAGCTAAAACGCGCCGGGAAATTCGAAAGGCACAGATATGATGCTCCAAAAAGCCGATCACTCGAGTGATGTGCCCTATTTCAGCCTGACCAGGCCCATATTCGAAGGATCGAGATCGAGATGTCGAGAGAGAGGCGCGCATTGATTCGACAGACAAACACGCCCGCCCATCCGCACCGTCGTCGACGAAGCAAACAAGCAAAAAGTTAAAGCTCTTTGCTTGGCACACCTCAGCTCGGATGCAGCACTGACATCTCCCGATCAATCACCCAAAAGACAACGCGATAAGCCGATAAAAGCACCCAACTGCCACCCATGCACCCCTCCACAACCGGTCAAGTGCCCCGCAATTCTAGGCCCTTGCGCACCTCTCAGGACAGCTCCAGTGGCAACACAAGCTGCACGATGAGGAAGGATCACCCGCCAAAGGAACGCTGATGAACGAGACGGATGGTGGACGGCGAGCAGGCTCGATGGAGATGGTCTGACGTCTGGTATGATATCCTGGGACGATAAATCCTTCCATCTCTCTCGCCTCATCAGCCTACTTTCAATCATCTCTTCAACCTTTAAACAAACAACTCCATCAACTTCAATACCTCTGCCGTCTCAGTGCACCGAACCGCCAACAACGACAACCCCACCAACCACTTACACTAAAAATAACCACCACCACCACCACCACAACCACTTACACCACCACCACCATGTCCTCCGACAAACCCCACTTCAACACCACAATCTTCACCCAACCCTCCACAGACCTCACCACCTCCCTAGTTTCCTCCCCAACAACCACAACCAAATCCCCCTCCCCAACCCGCACCGCCGCCGCCCGCACCCGCGCCATGTCCGTGACAGAGGAATGGCAGCCCGTCATCGACCGCCGCCAGAGCTGGTCCGCCCAAGAGTACTCCCACGAGATGCACTCCAAGCTCGCCCAGCAGCACGACCTGCGGGGATCCATCGGCGACCGGTCGGTGGAGAGGGACAACGGGCAGGGGTTTAGTGAGCGTTAATTGGCACTCACAACCTACATAACAACAAACCTACTGATAAGACATTGGGGACGATGGAGGGGAGTAATGACATGACTTTTGTACGCAGAGAGGCAGGGACGGAAAATTGGGAGCTTTCTTTTGTATTGCTACTTTTTGTTTTTGTACTTTTTGTTTCATGGCAGGCAAACGCAACAAGGAATAACGGACGGATGGAGGGAAAAGGCAAAAGTTTGGGTTGCGGGAACAGGACAAGTTCATTCATCCCATTATCATTTTGGACGCAGAACGGGCAGATCATTTCATCGTCATGACCATGGCGAAGCAGGTGTATTTTTTTGAGCAGACGCAATTCTTCATCTGAACCTTTACGTTTTTATTTCACACCTTTATTCTTCTTCGGCAAAAGTCATCCACATATCAGATGCCAAAACTTTGGTTGTCGAGCAACATGTCGACTTTTGATCCAAGGCAGCATTGAGTGGTACGAGCTCAGAAATATCACCAATGTCACAAATGTTCATATGCATGATTGCTATCATATCCCAGACCTGTGATAATCCCGTCCCTGTTTTTCCTTGCGTGTACTTTCCCCCGTTACTTTGCCCCAAGCGAAGGTAGTGCAGCCCCATGATTCCAATCCCGAACCCATGTTGCTCCCAGATGATGCCAAAATGCATGACCCATGAATGATACGCCGGACCCTGGGGAGCCAACCCCTAGGGTGATGAGAGGAGACATAGGAAAAAGGAAACAAAAGAAAAAAAAAGGCATGGTAGAGACCACCGTTGACCAAGTAGCTCAGTTCTTCTTAACCACCTTCACCCCCTTCCCCTCATTCTTCATCCCCTCAGCTAGCACAGCAACACCAAACGAAACACCCGCAACCCCGGCCGCGCTAACAGCAAGACGCTTGAGAAGACTCCCTTTCTTCTTCTCCTTCTTCTGCTTCTCCTCCCACGCCGAGTGCCTCTCATGCATATCCTCTGCTCTCTGACCCGGGCTAAAGAAAGTCTCACCCTGCGGAACATAGCGGCCGATCGTCTTCTCCGAAGGCAAGTCGTAGTTGACGAAGCCAGTGGGACTAGCAAACCGGCCGGCCGCGACATTGTACTCCGGGACAAGGCCACCGCCAGTCATGTCGATGGGGTTGACAGGTGAAGTGGGCGATGAAGCTGGGACCGTCTTGGTAGAAGCGACCTGTTCCTCCTTGGCGACGACTGGCTCACGAACCTTGCGGAAGATGAGGACATCGCCGCTGCCGGAAACGATCTCGAAGCCCTGGGCTTGGAGAGGGGCAAAATGAGGGAAGAAGCGGGCGGGGTTGGAGATCCGAAGAAGAACCTCGGCTGGGCTCAAGGGTGTGGCGCTGTCTGGCACGACAGACGTGGTCTCGGCAACATCTATTGCCTGCATCACGGGGTCATAGGCCAAAATCTTGTAGAGTACTGGTTCTGAGAAGTTGGCGGGAGTTGTCTCTGTTCTAGTCTGTTCCTGACGGGTAGATGACTTGTGAAAGGCACCAGTTAATTTTTCCTGTCCAGATGTGTAAGTACCTCGGCCAGACGACGGGCTCAAATCGGTTGGGAGGAGGGATGAGTTGGCCACAGAGGGCTCGGTGCTCCAAGATACTGCGAAATCCTCCGGAAAATCCTGTACGTACTGGCCAGTGAGTCGTTTAGACTTTTTGGGTTTGGGCGTCTCTTTGCCATCCGAAGATTGGTGGCTCGATGACCTCTGTGAGGCGAGAGCGGATTCGGCGGTTGGATTGGCCATCAACTCCTGAACGACCTTTCGGAACTCAGTGGTGATCTCGGCCTCATTCTTGGCTGCGGGTATGGCTTTCTGCCGTTGAGCGGTGCGACTCGTCTCGGAGTCCTCCAGTGTAAACGCTTCGTGATTGCCCAAGTCGGGGCCCTCGTTCAAGTCTTCTGCCGAGGGCGCATACTTGCCGTCTGGCTCATTGCTGCGAAACCCCCCTTGATACTCGTCCAGATCAGTTGGCTCTGTGATTGAGGCGTTGATGTTTGCGGCGTATTTGCCGTCAGGCTCGCAACTTCGTACTGCCTTGTAACTGTCCAGTTCCACTGGTTCGGAGTCAGATTCGGCCTCAGATGCCGCATACTTCCCATCAGGCTCATGGCTCCGGAAGGCTCTGTAGCTCTTCAACTCCGCTGGATCCCGTGTGGGCGCGACGTGGGATGCCGCGTACTTGCCATCGGGCTCATGACTGCGGAAAGGGATATATGTCTTGAGCTCGACAGGATCGTAACCAGCCTGATACTGTTCGGGCGCATATTTTCCATCCGGCTCGTGACTGCGGAAAGCCTCGTATCGTGCGAGTTCAGCTTCATCTTGCGACGGTCGAACATAGGCTTCTGCATACTTTCCATCGGGTTCATGGCTCAAAAATGGCTTGCTGTACTCTGCAATCTCAGCGGGGTCGAGGTTGGGTTCGGCCAAGACAGGGGCGTATCTCCCGTCCGGTTCATGTGCACGAACGGCCGCGTCGTATTTGTCCAACTTCTCTGAACTCACGGAAGCCTGCTGTATGGGTTTGTACTTTCCGTCAGGTTCGTGCGAGCTGACGCCATCCTCATACTTCCCAAGGTCCTCTGGTGCAGGTTCTGAGTCTGGATCGATCTTGTACTTTCCATCCGGCTCATGAGAGCGCACAGGCCCGTATTTGTCGAGGTCTTCGTACTCGGTAGACTCTTCTTGGCCCCTGGGCTTTCCATCCGGTTCCTGATGCTTGATTGGAACGTATCTGCCGAGATCTTTGTACTCCTCGGGTTGATCCTGAACTGGGTCTGAGGCTGGATCGACAACGGGTGTATACTTGTCCAGGTCGTTATACTCGGATGTGTTAAGACCTTGTCCCGATCCAGTGATGTTGCTTTCGTTCCACAAGACCTCCGCATGCTTATCGTTAAGAGCATTGACGACATCTGGAACAGACTGGCTACGCGGAGCTGGAGCTGGCTTTCTCGGGACAGCGGCCCAAGGTTCTGAATCGATCTTGACCTTGCCGTAGAGTTTCAACTCCGCCTCGGGTGGCGGGCCGTCGTAGAATATCGGCTCCTGTGCAACACCGAGTGGTGGGGGCTGAAATCCCGCGAACTGGGAACGATACGACTTGAAGGTTTTGGTGACGTCTGCCGGATCAAGCGCTGTGACTTTGGCCCGCCGCTCCTGCTTGCCGAAAAGCAAGTGCTCCAGTGGCGCCCTCTCAGCATCCTCAATGTTTTGGCCAGGCCGGATGCCAGTGGGGTTCCCGGGGGTCTTGTTGGGGATATTGCTGCTGGCCCATCTGTTCCTGGAAAGACTCGGCGATTGATCGGTGCGCCAGTAATCGTAGGGTGAGGACTTGGATGGGTTTGATGGCCTGCTGAAGCTGTTCTTGTCCCAGGAAAGATGCCGATGGAGTATGTCTGCATATCTCTGGCGAGCGAAGCGGTGGCGGCGGCATATATCTCGGTCATGGTCAGCGTCGATGTGGACGATCCATGTTCGGCTGAACCTGAAGCTGCGTGTTTGTTGCTGGTGGAGGTTGAGGACAGCTCCAACCGAGCTTGGTGTAGCCTGAGCACAGCGAGCTCGGCGAGTAAGGGTGGATGCGGCTGTTAACGAGGACATGGTGGGGGAATGATAGGTCAAGGATGGAACCTCGCAGACATGCTACTGGCAGGCAGTGAAGATGTTGACTACCTCTTGTTCTTCATTCGTCGTTAATACTATGGCAGAGGACAAAAGTTTGTTGGGCAAAGAAAGAAACCTAGTAGAGCCAAACTGGCGGAATGCCAAACTGTACGACAGGCCGAAGAATCAGGCCAGCACTTGCAGAACCTTTTACAAACCAACGGTAGCTCCGAGCGGTGGCAGTGAGAGAGGTCTGGTCTAGGAACTCGTGAAACTTTAACGGGTGTGGTCGGAACTTACTTAACAAAGGGGGGAGGCCCAGGTGGCTGCAAACAATGTCGTCAATGATACGATGACTTTCTAAGGCGGAATGGCCCCCACCAAGTGACGATGTTCGGCGTCAACACGGATACTTAGGGGAGAGAAACGGTAAAACGGAATACATAAAAAAGGAAGAAGGAAAGAGGGGGAAAAGATAATTAAAAAGAAAAGTACCGGTCAGCAGGAACCATCGTGAGTTTGCCAGAACAACACTGGCCCCTGCGGCAGCACAACCCTGGCCGAAGTGTCCATCACAAGCAAAGAGAAGGGTACAAGGTGATTGTGAGGTGGTGGGCCGGGCGTGCGAGCCAACGGAACGGCTTTTCGGCACGACGCCTTTCCTGGGTGTGGCTCCTGATTCGTCCGAGTCTCTGGGCATCTCACCCAGAGTTCCTGCGGCGGGCAAGAGTGGACCCTTGCTGTGGGAGGGAGCCACTGACGTGAGCCCGTCGGGTGCGGGGGAGTCTGATAAGCCTGAAACGATAGCGGACCTCACGGAAGCACGTTGGAACTCTCGCTGTTACTTGCTGAATACTTGGGCCCTTCCTGCATGAATGGGCCCCTACCTGCAGAATCCAAGAGATGGTGTCTCTGGAGTTTCCTCTTTCGACCATCTGCTCACACAATATCGAGGCGGCTGATGGTTTAGGCAATAAGCCACGTTATCAGGAAATTGTTCAGATGTGCTATGGGTCAATGTAAGCCGAGCACCGGGCATAGGAAGTCTTCGGTTGTTGTTTGACCACTGGACTGGGCTGGAGGATGAGGAATTAAAAACTTGGCTTCTGCAAAAACGATATCGCTCGAATTGCAAGAATGCGAATCTCAAAAATATGGTATGAGGATCATCCTCTCCACTTCCTCGTTCGCGATGATGGCTCCACCGCTTAATGCAAACCCCGCAGTCACAAGCCCCACCACGACGTCATTTCTAACAACGGCCCCAGATTCAGTGGGAGCTAGCGGGTACTCCACCATGAACTGCCGGCTTGATGCATCGTGAAAACGACGAGAATTATTCAGGAGAAGTCCATTTCACGAAGAATGGACGGGCACCGTCTTAGTCCAGTCAGATAGCTGACCAGGATTCTTGACAAAACAGCGACAGCCGTTGGAGCGACGATGTACTGCTGACTCGTTAAAAAAAAATCTGTTCAAAGTTCCTGTATAACAGGGATGAGCAACATTGCATGATACCAAACTCGAGGTGTTAGGAATAAAGGGTGTTAAGAAGTTTTGACAAGTCAGTTTCTCCGCATCGCGATATCGACAATGTCATTGACAATGGAAAAAGTTCAATAGGAGCGTGATGGATGGTTGGTAATGAGAGGTGTTAGAACAGACCCACATCGGTGAGCTCGGTGAGGAGGAAGCCGCGGTGAGATTTATGCCCCGCATCACGTGAAGCTTGATGACAGCTCTGGTACCCCACTAACCACCAACGTCAGTTTGCGACAGGTTTGATGGACGCTGGAGAAGGCTGGAGAAGGTGATGCGACGCGAAAGAACACTTTGTCTGGAGGACCATAGATTCAGCAGCGACAAATAATATCTTCAGTTCCACTGCCAATCTACCTCCAATTGCATTCGCCCCAAGCAAATACCGTCGAACTGCCCCTCTTTTGCAGTTCGAACTTCCCAGTGACTCAATCGGCGAGCTTCGACCATATTTCCAACGCCCCCAACCCACAACAACCGTCGACACCATAAAGCGAGATTCCACGCACGCACGATCTGTTGAATTGTCTTATCTCAGTACTTGAACCACCAAAGTACGATTGAGTCTCTCAACCATGGGACTGGGTACACCAAAAGCTGGCTTTGGGGGATTCGGAGGGGTCGCATCAACTTCGCCAACACTGTCCTATCTTACACCTCCACCCGACTTCTCGGAAATCCCATTAGAGGTAGTTGTGTCCTTTAAGAGCCTGTTGAAGAAGGCAAGCGCCACCAAAGAGAAGGCGTTGCAAGACATCCTAGCACATGAGCAAAACCGGTCCTCTGACACCAATGGCCCAGAGGAGTCAGTAATACAAGCATTTGTCAGTCCTAGCCCCCACTTGCCCTGTGTTTTGCAATGTCTAACTATAAATTACACAGGTCCAACTCTACCCTCGGCTATCCATCGATGACTCTGCAAGAGTACGCGAGCTTTCCCACCAAGTCCTGATCCAGCTGCTCAACTCCGCAAAGAAGCGCATCGCGAAACACCTTCCACTGTTCGTAGGACCTTGGCTGGCTGGGACATTTGACAGAGACAGGCGCGTCTCCAAAGCCGCGAGCGAGGGGCTTGCTTCATTTCTACAAACCAAAGAGAAAGAGGTGGCTTTTTGGAAGTCTATTCAAGTCCGAGCCCTGGACTATGCGACGACTTCTTTGAAGGAAACGCCCACGTCGCTCAGTGATGAACGCTCGACAACCAAACAAGACTCTGATGCCAAGTACTACCGAGTAGTTGGCGCAAGTGTTTGCTTGACACTGAATCTGTTGGCAAAAGGAGCACTTGATGCTCTGAAGGATGGCATTGCGGTGTACCTAGAGGTCGATGCGCTCTGGTCTTTGGCCAAAGCAGAAGATCCATTTGTACGGCGGTCATTCTATCATTTAATTCGATCAATCCTGGACACAGCCCCTGAGCTCTTGAAACCAAGACTGCAACAGTTAGGACGGGCGTTGATCGCAGACAGCTTCAAAGGCAACCAATCTGGGTCTGCAACAGACTTTCTCAAGGCGCTGACAACTTTGACCCGCCAATATTCCCAGGTATGGGGCACACAGCAACACCCCGTTCAGAGGCTGGAGAAGTTTGTCTTCCGTGGTTCACAAGGTGGATCTGATGAGTACTGGCGCGCTTCAAGCCAGCTCCTGTCGGTGCTGACAGACAAGTTCCCGTCACCGTCGTTGGACATCGTGTCCGCGCTTCTGGGCTCCATTAGAAAGGGAATATTTGATCGGCTGGAAACCCGTTCTGGTCGCCAACAGGCGTTTGACATGTATGCACACGCTATCGAACTTTACCTACCAGCACTTGTACCGAACGCCGAGTTTGTGAAGGACAACGTCTCGTCTCTCACGCGACAGTTCTTGCACCCAAATCCTGAAGTCTCTACACCATCTCCACAACAGCCTGACATTCTTGTTCAGCTTTGGCAAGCTTTGGTTCGGCACCCCGGTAGTGAAGTCCGCCAGACCGCGGAATCACAGTGGCAAAATATTGTCGACGAGTTCCTCTCGAGAGTATCGAATTCCCTGCCTGAGGTCTCAGAACGGTACCAAGCCTCTCAGCTTGCAATAGCAGCGGAAGGGGAACGATGGTTTTCTATACTCTCCAGGTTTTCCAAAGCTGCATCCCTCCATGACCTTGCCGTCTCTTCGTCGACCAGTATCATACAAAGCGCTTTGGATTTGCTGCTCAGGCGAAACTTCAAGCCCTTTGGGTGTGCCGCCATCTTGCAGTCGGCATATCGACATTGCCCTGACATTTACCGTGGCATCGACACGACATCCATGATCTTCCCAGCGAACGGAAACGAGCATGCACGAACTTTGGTCACAACCCCTTCACTGCCTTACATCATTTCCGACCTCCATGAAACAGCCGGCGATCGTCTTGAAGAAATTTGGGGCCTGCTTTTTGCGGCTTCTACCCAGATATCGGATCGCGGAGCAAGCATTTCGGCAGTCAAAACTTTGGTCTCGATACCCTCCACGTTCAAGTTTGTCCAGGACCTCCCTCAAGCCCAGCAGTTCCTCATCTCAGTGTGGTCAGAGTTTGCGAAATCTGATGATTTGGGTGCTCCTTGGGCCCAGCTAGCAGAAACCTCTTTGGACTTCAATACTTTGACAGTCGAGTCCATCAAAACAATTACTACCACCGTAATCGGCCTATTGGAGGAGCCATCGTCCCGTGCACCTGCACTTCAGGCCCTAGACTTGGTCCTTACACATGCGCCTGAGAGCTCCATCATTGACGACGATCTATCGGTGCGCCTTATCACTACTTTGCTTGCCCTCACCGAGATTTCCGATACACCTATCGCCGAGAAGGCCAAAGGATTGTTCCAGTTGCTACAGCATCGGCCAACAGAGTCTCCACCACTTTTCAGAATCCTCGCCAGCCAGCTCCATGAAGCAGGTCCTGCATCTCTTGAGTATGTATTTGTTTCTCATCTTGGCGTTGGGATCACTGTAGCTAACATGTCTAGCATCGACACATTGGTTGCTCAAGCGGTTGCCGCTGTCCAGTCCAAGGTCCTTCCAGCCGAGGATGTTTTTCCAAGTACTGTGGCCTGGCAAACCGAGCTCTCCTGGTTCCTCAACACCCCCAATCCGTCTTTGTCGTTGACTAGCAGTATGGATGGATCGTACTTCCTCGTCCAGGGCAGCGAAAGTACGAACAAGCCGTCACCAGGTCGCGACAGCAAAGGCCGTTCTTCCCCTGCAAGAATGGCACTTTTCACGGCGAAGTTGCTATCATCCGGTGTCGAGCTCTCGTCTTTGCCTCTGGAGTTTCAGCTGGAACTGATCTATCTCCTCTGCGTGACTAACATGCTCGCGGCCGATCAGCTCGCACTGTCGGAGGAAAACCGGCTATGGAGGAACATCCGTGGTCAAGATACCGATGACGAGATTCTGGAGTACACAGAACTTGCCTCAAATGAGGTCAGCAACATTGTCGCTGCATCTGTGAACTGGCGAGACCTTGACATGTCAGGAGACACCCTGGTAGAACGACTTGTCAACTTCATGCTCCAGACAGCCCTGGGCTTCAATGCTGCTGCCTTTTACACTGCCAAGGCTCTCGCTGCTCTCCTTCAAGCACTGGTCAAGGCTCATGGACCTTTGGCTAAGTTCGAGGAATGGCTGACCAAACTCGGTCTTTCCCGCGTCACACCTGACTCGACGTTTGTTGCAGCCGCTATACTTGTCGGTCTGAATGATGCATTGGCCTCTTCCAAGACCATCAGCACACTCTGTGCTCGCCTGTTCAGTGAGATCCCAGGATACTCCATTGGATCTCCCCGCACACTTCCATCGTTGGTCTTGCTGAATCTTTGCCTGGCTGTCTATGATGAGAGTCAAATACCAGTGGAGCCACGCAAACAGGTTCTCGTGTTGCAGCAGGTGACCAAGTGGACCGACTCCCCAGAGGAGATGGACTACAGGCTTGCGGCTGAGACCTGCAAAGCCATAACTAAGATCTTCCCCAATGTCAAGGAGGTTTACGGACCATTTTGGGAGAAGTCAATTCAGTACTGTCTTTGGCTGTGGGGTCAGGCTGCGCGCGATGATACCAGCAATCGCCTCCCGTACATCTACGCATCGCTCAAGCTGATGCAAGCGCTAAAATCGGCTGAGGAGGTCAACGATGACCTTGAAGATGCACTTGCAGAAAATAAAAGGGCCGAGTCCGAGGCCCTGATCGCCCTCCTGACTGTACCGCACGATGCGCCAGCCACACTGCCTAGTCAGCTTGTTGATGCACTCTTATCGCGGACGGTTTCGAAGATCCCCAACGTCAAGCTTGGCGAACTATCCGACGTTTACCAGGCAGTTGCGTCACCGTCTAGAGATATCCAAAAGGCTGCGTTTGGCCTTCTCCATCGGACTATCCCCGCAGCCCAGGAAGAAATCAGCGTTAATGTCATCATTGAGAAGAAGCGTGAGTCGGCTGCCCTTCTTAGTGTGCAATGCATTTGCTAACCATCCACTAGCTGCCAATCTTCCCGCTGAGCTTCTGTCGCTGCTCCTCAACGCACCGAGCCCCGATGACTATACGGATGAAGAGCTTTACCAGTTTCCAGCTCCAGTCCGATCTTACCTTCTGACATGGCATCTAGTCTTTGATGCGTACAGCAAGGCTTCATACCGGGTTCGCAGCGACTACACCGAGAATCTCAAGAAGGATGATCTCATCAGTCCACTACTGGGCTTCTTGGCCGACGTCCTTGGTCATGCTCTGGCCAGGGCCATTGACCTGGACAAAGAAGGCTTCACGCCCGAGCATGTCCGCTCCTACAGCATCGACTTGGCTGACTCGGAACCTGCTGAGCGTGATATGAACTGGTTACTCATCCACCTGTTCTACCTGATCCTGAAGTATGTTCCTGGTCTGTTCAAGTCATGGTATCTTGACTGCTCTTCCAAGCAGACCAAGGTCGCGATTCAGTCCTGGATGGGTCGGTTCTTCTCGCCGTTGATCATTTCCGACCTGTTGGATGAAGTGACTGAGTGGTCTGCCAACCAAGGCGACCTCGAAGGCGGGACAGATGCGGAAGCCCTCGAGATCAAGGTTAACAAGCCTGTCCGAGAGATCACTGCCTCGTACCCGGTGGATGACGACTTTGGCATGATCCAGATCGTCGTGCCTCAGTCGTACCCGTTGGAGCCTGTCGATGTCATGAGCGTCAAGCGCGTGGCTATCAAGGAGGACAAGTGGCAGTCTTGGTTGAAGGGCATCAAAGCTGTCATTATGTTTGGCAACTGTAGCTTGGTGGATGGATTGATGGCGTTCCGGCGAAATATCTCGCTTGCGGTGAAGGACCAGGAGGACTGCGCGATTTGCTACTCGATCGTGGCGCAGGACAAGAGCTTGCCGGACAAGAAGTGCGGGACGTGCAATCACTACTTTCATCGGTATTGTTTGTACAAGTGGTTTCATAACAGCGGGAAGAATACTTGCCCGCTGTGCAGGAATCCGATTGACTATTTGGGGTCGGATACTTCGAAGAGGAAGGGGGGGAGGTAAATGTGGGTGTTGGGGAACGGTGGAGGTACCTTGTGGAAGCGGGCTTGTGAAACGAATGTAGAAAGAATAGAGGGATATATTTACAGAAGTATGGGGGTGACAATGGTGGACGTGATGAACATGGCGGTGACGTTGCAAGGCAATGAAGGGTTAGGGTCACTGACGCCAAGCCCTTCTCTGTAGGATTTCACGATCTATGTCGTATTGGTGTCCTCCCGTGCCCCTTTCCAGATTCCTTTCTAACATGGTGTCCTTGACACAAGCAATATCCCTTCGCCGCTCCACAGCCACACTGACTCTATCCCGAGGATGGCTTGTTGGTTCCTGAGGTGGGATCGTGATGCCTGAGGACAGCCGATGGGGCCCACTGTCAATGAACGCTACCAGTGGCTGACCCGCCATCGTCCTAATAACACGGCACTGAACTTCCCAATTTGGATCCCGCTAACCTCATTTGCTCCGGCGTGCAACACTGAGGATCTTTTGTATCCGCCGTTGAGTCAAGCACCGAGGACCAGACCATAGTTTTGAGAGACTATCGTGAGATATTCGTGCTCGGAAATGTGTACATATACGCCATTATCCGCAGTCATGGCAAAGAAAGCCTCACCCTCATGCACCATTACTATTAGCAGCAGTCAGCCATCAACCAGCCAATTAGGCTTCTTATCTTACACACATCTAATCTCACCGAAACTCAAAAACACCACATTAACATCCGCGACCATGGGTCTCCTCCGTAAACTCCTCGGCCGCAAGCCCAAAACCCCCAGAGCTCAAACCACAACCCTCACAAGCCCGAATCCGTTCCCAGACGAGGAAACCTTCGCGGCAGTCAAAGCCCACGTCATGGCCCGCGCGCGCGCCAACGCCTCCAACCCAGAATACATCGCGATGCAGCGCCACGTCGCCTTCTCGGCGCCCACGACCTTCTTGGAGGCGAATTACCCACCCGAGGAAAACAACCTCATCACTCCCATGGGGCCGATACCGACTGACGCCGGGGAGGGGATCAGGGTAGATGATGAGACTGTCATTCCGTGTGAGGACACGATGTTTTTTATGGTTTTGAAGCATGACCCAGATGGGAAGAAGATGCCAGAGATGAAGATGTTGTTTTTTGTGGCGATTCCTCCAAAAGGTTGTGGGGGTGAGTTTGCTGGGACGCCGATGGCATATGAGACGCTTGGGACGGAGGGTTGGAAGGCGGTGGAGAGGGAGGCGGAGGGGTTTGTGAGGAAGTGGAATGGGGCTGGAGAGATGGGGAGGAGGCCGGAGGAGGGGGTGAAGGTTGTTGTGCAGATGGGGATGGATATGGGGGTTTGGGAGTGGAGGAGGAAGGGGGGGTTGGTGGAGCCGGAGGGGGGGGTTGAGATGAGGGAGGTGAGGGATGAGGGACGGTGGGAGAGGGACGGGATGAGGTTGCCTCCGACGACGGCGGAGGTGGAGGAAGGGGTAGCAAGGTAGAGGGATAGTTGATGTGGCTTGTGTTGAAGGAAATATGAATAATGCAGAGTGGCAGCTGTTTGTCAAGGCGTTTTTGGTATATTTTGGAGTGTGGCGTTCGGAAGCTGGAAGCCACAAACCTACCGCGCCACTTGCAGCAGATTGTCCGAAATGCATTTTTTGGAATTGTTCTCTTTTGACAAAACATCCTCCCAACCAACACTGGTGGCATTCAGGTCGCCCCGAGCATATCATCACGACACCAGAACGGTTGGTTGATTGTTATCACACAGGAATCGTATGGCTGAACCCCATGGCCAATTGCTCCAGAGGGCCAGAGGCTGACCTCGTCATAGTAACTAGAATTCGACCCTCCGAGGCGGTGAACTTCAGGCGTTAACATGGGTTGGAGGAGGAGTGAAGGGATGTTGGGTTTGGGGTTGGATACATACAAAGGATTGAGGACGAGCAGATAATGCGAAGAAGAGACTTCCAGGATACGGCAAAAGGCTTGAATACACCTAGCTATCCCAAACAACGACGAGTGACCCTTGAAAGCAGCTGTAACCAACTTCCGTTGGCAATCTTCCAGGACTATGTCTGTTGTCTTTGTGTGATGGACAGGCTTTCTTCAGCCACACCACTTGGATCTTAGCTGCGCAAACCAATTTGGTGACTACCGGTAGTAGTAAGCTCATCTTTTTCCACTGGCTTAAGTACCTAGTCTGAGGAATCAGTTAGGGCCTTAAAAAGACGAATGTCTAGAAAATTGAGCTCTTCCCACCTGCCTGATGAGGTGGAATATGGAAGGCTCTTTCCTTCTAGGGGGTTTAGATGTGGAGCTTCCCTTCTATTCCTGACTCACTCACCGTTGAGTAGCTCGTTCCCAGTGAGCCGGGAGTAGTGAGCTCAGAACTGAGTCGTTTGGGTATTTTTTCCTCTGCTGTACATCCGACAAGATTGTCGTCACTATCACCCAACACAGACTGTCAAATACTAAAGAACCAAGAACAGCTCATGAGACGCCAATTGTCAATATATTATCTCCAGGACAAAAGTCTCTAACACTAATGAGAGCAGAGCCAGCCCGCCATACCCAAAAAGATTCTCAGATACACCAACCAACTACCTAACCAGTTCTCTAAACCCCAATAACCAAACTACCCATCAAGCCAAATCGATGATGAAGCCAAGCAACGCGACGCTACACTAACCATCAGATTAACACCCCGACATTTAGCAGCGAAGCCCGCTGGAGGAACTAGGACGCGAGCTGGGGGTGCCGGGACGGCTGGAGGTAGTAGAAGGAGCGGGACGGCCGCTGGTAAGAGCAGGAGCGGGGCGAGCGGAGCGAGTACCAGGCCAGCTGTTCTTTGTGGGGGTGGTCTCGCGGGACTGGCGGTTGAAGCCCTGCTGACGCATGGTCTTGGGGAAGGGGTTCTCGGTCAGGTGGGAGTAAGTGGGCGTCTTCTCCTGGGCCAGGTTTCCGTAGGGCTAGTCCTTTCCGCGCTTCTTGGCGTTGGTCTCGAACCTGGTGAAGCGGCCGGTGGCGGTTGACGGGGATGTGGACGTTGCGCTCGTACGCGCCGAGGGGGGCGAAGTACTTGGAGATGAAGCGGATTGTGAGGTGCATCTCGTCTGAGATGAAGGTGCTGGAGTTGCCTGGTTGGGTGCCTGCTGAGGCGTCACAGTTTTTGGATTTGCTGATGAGGACTTCTAATTACGACCTAAAGAGGCGAATCACTGCTGATGATATTTTGAAGCATCTGTGGATAGCTGGGGTTAAGAGGTAATTGGTGGGGTGACAGGGTGGCGTTGATCAAGCATATTTATCGAAGCGACTGTCTTCTGGAGTCTATGATATAAGTTCTTGTATTCCTTAGTAATATGATTCGGGGAAAGATTAAATAAATACTTAACAAGTTCCGAAGATCGGTTTTGTCGTGGTCGTCACTCAATTACACCTACCATCATGGAGCTCAGCTGTTGGCAACTGCTGAAGACTGGCTGTGGGGTGCGGGCACTGACCCACTGTCTTGCTCTTCGTCTTGCAGCCTGAGCCACAGCCTTTTCCTTCCCTTTTCATAGGCATCACCAATGGCATCGCTTTTGACTACACCTTTATTTCGTCCCAGACTGGCGGATTGCCCTCTGTGCCTCACAACTTAACGCCAAGAACGCTTGTCAACTTCTTGGTCACGCTTTCACCTGTCATAAGATCGAGAACAAGTCATGGTTCCAAAGCAAGTGGTACGAACCAAGAAATATGCTAACAGCTGACAAACTCCTAACCATTTCAATAGTTGACATGTCCGCGCCCGACTCTAACCCTGCGGCCACCGACCTCACACTATCAAAATCATCCCTTCACCCAAGCCAAGGTACAAGTGACTGTCAGGACCCTTCGTCATCGATTCGGAGGCTTTCATAGCTTCCGGGAGCATCCAATCTCTGTTGGCAACATGCTTGTCGAAACAAATCCCCACACGCCTGTAGGCTCCTCTGCATCCGTCCACTGGTTCCAGGACCAAACCCGTTTTGGTTTCTGTCACGTTATCCGACTCGTCAACAGTAGTACCTTCGAAAATGGGAAGATAAAAGACTACCGGATATCGTTTTGACAGTGTTTTCAGATCCCAGTCTGGGTCAAAGCCGGCATCCTCACTGCTGCTGTCGCTTTGCTCCGCAGAATCCTCGTCCGTCTCGGCGTCTTCCTCATCCGTTCCGTTGCTGCTTAGCCCAGCCTCGCTGTCTTCGTCATTTTCGATTTCTTTCACTATCTCTACCAAGCTAGGATGACGTCTGCAACCCATGTCCATGTCGACGGTCCACACAGGGCTGGCGAATCCCTCCACCAACAGCCCCACAAGGACTTTGAGATTGAAACGATCGTCGACTGCCAGGCTTGCTGGATATATCGGTCCCTTCAGAAGGAGATAACCGTCAGTGACGATACCAAATTGATCTGCGTTCGACACGATTACACACTTGTGGACGACATCGGGTGTGTACGTTGGCACAAGCCTCGCCCCATACCCAACCACTCCGATATCCGCAGAGGCCCAAGACCAGCTTGGTGCGATGTATTGCGAGACCTCGGTTCGAAAATGCTCCGGTCTCTGCACCTTTGCAGACGGACAATTCCGGCTGTGACCCTCAGTGGAGACTCGCCATATCAGACTTGACACGAAGTCCTCTTCCCAATGACCTGCGACATATCTGCTCTTGTAGAGCTGCTGGTACACCCGGGCCACACCACCCAAAGCAACAAGCGCGTCCTGGGCCTTCGTCAAATTCAAGCGGGTATAATGCCCAACCACCTGCTGCCATGCTAGCCATGGTGACAAGCCCAATGTTGGGTAGAAGCCGGAGCTGTCTCCATCCGTCCTTGCCGAAGCCAGGGCGCCCTTTATGACGGTTGCTGCCGGGTTGCTTCGCCAACTTTCCCCCCATCCCATTTCGTTTTGAGGAAGGCCTGACGGGAACATCTAGCATGCCCGATGCTGGCGACATTCCCAGAGCAACCGATCGGATGAGAAGTGCAGTATCCGGGGCGCCAGTTGTTGTTCCTGGAAGACCCAGCCACGCGTGAACATCCAGACTATCAGTTCGAGGGAAATCCAATGCTGATTCTGGAAGACATACTGCCAAAAATTGAGGAAGATTTCTCTTCCCATTTTTACATTCACTCCCCCCTATCTTCCAATGGCCTCAGGCGCATAAGCGCCAACATAAAATAAAACTTGAAAATAAAAACGGGGCGGCAAAAATAAATTTCGGGATTCTAGTGCCAATGAAGCATACATAGAGAATGCATTCCCAAAATGCATGATAGTCAACTGCCCAATTCTACTCTTGTGATTAACGTATATTATAAGCGAGTCGTACATATAAGCGAGTCGTACAGTCTCCACCACGACGCGTCCTCCTTACACCTAACATCAATTTTTTCCACAACCCAACATGCCTCCTACTTCAAAGGAAGCCAGGATACTCTTAGCCCTTGAGGCTCTCCAAAAGGACGAAAAATTAAGCCTCCGAGCTGTAGCTAAGCTTTATAACGTACTACCTATGACTCTCTCTAACCGACGCGCCGGCCGGCCTGCACGACGCGATATAACACCCAATTCGAAAAAGCTGACTCAATCGGAAGAGGAAGCTATTGTCCGATATATTATTAAGCTATATGCGCGAGCTTTTCCACCAAGATTGCGTGGTGTGGAAGATATGGCCAACCAACTGCTACGCGTACGTAACGCGCCCCCTATTAGTAAGCTCTGGGCACATAACTTCGTTAAACGCCAGCCACAGCTCCGTACGCGTTTTACGCGTAGATACGATTACCAGAGAGCTAAGTGCGAGGATCCAAAGGTTATTGCCGTATAGTTTACGCTCGTACAGAACACTAAGGCCAAGTACGGTATTGTAAATAACGATATCTATAACTTCGACGAGACTGGGTTTATAATAGGTATTATCTTTACGGGTATAGTAGTTACGACCTCGGACGGCCTTAGTAAGGCAAAACTGGCCCAGCCTAGTAACCGCGAATGGGTAACGGTAATCCAGGGAGTTAATGCCCTCGGCTGGGCCATCCCTCCTTTTATTATTTTAGCCGCGCAGTACTACCTTGCCAACTAGTATACCGAGTGCAACCTACCGTCTACTTAGCGTATCGTAACCACCGATAATAGCTGGACTATTAATCTAGTAGGCCTAGATTAGATTAAGTACTTCGATTATTATATAGCGTCCCGTATAAAGGGTAAATACCGTTTATTAATCCTCGACGGCCACGAAAGCCACCACTCGACCGAATTCGAGCGCCACTACTAGCAGAATAATATTATTACGCTCTACATACCTCCATACTCCTCCCACCTCCTCCAGCTACTCGATATTAGCTACTTTGGGCCGTTAAAACAGGCGTACGGTCGCCAGATCAAGGACTTAATACGCATACATATCAACCATATAAGCAAGCTCGAGTTCCTCTATGCCTTCCGCGAGGCTTTCTTCGCCTCTATGTCACAACCCTGGGGTATGGACGAGAATAACGATTGGTTGTGGAACCACGGGAGCAGGGGCCAATCGGGAAAACACCTAGGAGAGCCAATCACAGGGAGGGACGGTGATCCGTGCGATCAGAGCACTGATCAGACTGAGCAGGCCAGGCCGGGGTGATCAGTGTGATCAGGACACTGATCAGGCTGAGCGTAAGTACTCAGTATACTCGGGACACTGATCAGAGGAATCACGGCTAGGAAAAGAAGTCTATATATACGGAGGAACTGGCTGGTGTAGATAGACAGTTCCGCAGTATGCAATTCACAATTGTATTCACGGTATCTTGTGTTTACATTGAGACATCTTGTTGTGCACTGTCTAGCTGCACCGAACCAATTGTCAGAAGTTACCTTCAACCCGTATCCCTTTCAGAGGTTCTGTACAGGGGTTCGTCACACCTTCCTCTTCTCCTCCTTCCTCTCCTCCTCCTTCCTCTCCTCCTCCTTCCTCTCCTCCTCCTTGCTCTCTTCCTCTTCGCCCTCCTCCTTTTCCCTCTTCTTCTTCTCGGCTCCCAGACGAAGCGAGATATACTGGGCCGCTTTGATAGCAAAACACATCGCTGTCAAAGTGGGATTCGATGCGTTCTTGCCGGGGATGACATTCAGGCCCCCCACGAAGAGGTTGTTGACACCATGGATCTGGGAGAACTTGTTGCAACATGAATCGTCCTTTTTCTCTCCGGCCCTGGTGGTGCCGCAAACGTGGAGCGCTAGGCCATTTTCCATGAACTGCGGCTCCGAGCCAGGGAGATAGCCACCTAGAACCCCAGCAACCTCTTCCATATGCTTCATCATCTGATGAGTAAGTTCCCGGTCTGCGTCGCCGAGGCGGTAGAAGAAGGTAGGTTGCGGCATCCCGTAGGCATCCTTGACCTTTGTTGTAAACTTGACGCAATTGTCCTTTGTTGGTTCCACTGGGCCAAAGAAGCGCAAATCCACAATGGTCCGCTTGTCGATGTTCGGGGGCACTGCGCCGTAAGAGAAGGCATCCCGATGTATCTGGGTGTGCCACGGTTGTTTCTCGGAAACGGGGAGCGTGACCTGAGGATCCAGATCGTTGAAAGGAAATGGTAACTGATCCTGAGGGTAACGGCCTTTTTGAGTCTCCAAATGCTTCTTGATCTTCTCGTCCCATTTCTCCTTCCTGAGCGAGTCCCAACCGTCGTTTTTCGGGTCATCCTTTGGGTATGGGTGAGCGCCGTAGACTGCCTTGATCCAGCGCCTATCCAGGACAACTTGGCAAAAACACATGGTTTGCTCGGTGAGGTAGTGACCCTATGACATGAAATTATAACTGATTAGTACCAGACTGGCAAACGATAATCGAGTATATAGACAACTTGGAGTACATACCAGAGCTGGAAGCTCGAGGAAGGGTTCTACCACTTCCTTGTCGCTAAGCCTCTCGACACAATGAGACACGGAGTTGGGGCCAACCTTGGTCCATGTCTTGGTCTTAGTAGTGGTCTCGCCCGTCCGAAACCCCGAATTGAATAGCAACTGTGGAGTGAGTATAGGTCCACCGCAAATGATGTATACCCTGGCTTTTACTTCGTCCAGCTGGTTGGTTAGTAGCGAGCGGACCTTGGCATTCTCCACGATCCCTGCATCTCCACTGGCATCCTTTGTGTTCTTGATGATGGTGAGCTTCTCGCAGAGCCACTCACTTCTCAACTCGAGCTTTTTGCTGAACTCGGGTTTAATCTTCTCAAGCACTGTGTGCGACGAAGACCAGGTGATAAACTCAGAGCCGTCTCGCTTGGCCGCAAGAGGGAGTGCGAATGCCGCGGGTTTCTGGTCTCCATTCTCGTCCTTTTCTCCTTCGAAATGATCATTCAGGATCTGCTTGACCATGTCTTGGCGGATTGAACCCTCAAGGACGTCGGTATGTGTTTCAATCAGCTTTTCCGCTTCGCTATACAGCCCCTCCCATTCGTTCTGGAGAAGTGGAGAACGTTCCCTTAGATGCTGTCGGGGAGTTGAACAAGTCCAGCTAAATCAACGCGGTCAGCGAGTGGTTAGAAATGACTTTTTCCCCAGGAGATGCTAAGCTGGGCGACAGATGCCAACCAGAAAGGCCAGCATGACTAGGGTCACCTCATACTGGGTTGACATGCCCCCTACATTCCTGGCCACAGCATTGAGGCCAAGGTTTAAGGCAGGGTCCTGATAAGGATTCTGGCTATGCTGCACTTGTTTTCCTTCTCTGTTTGCTGCTGTTAGCTTCCCCGAGTGCACTACCTAATGGTGGTGGATGTAGTTAGATTTGCTCACCCTGACCAAGACACTGGAGGCAGAGTAGGGACTACCGATTCATCGGTTGGCACCGAAGTTAGTTGCAAACTTCCCTTTATCAGGAGCATCAGACCGTTAGCCTAGGCTATCTGCTGTGTACTCGATCTGCCAATGCCTACTTTGATGACGCTGATAGGGAGACTGTTAGCTGACTGGCACAAACTGGACTCCCAAAGTAGGTAAATATACTCACTGGACGAAGGAGTCAATATCTTTTTGAAAGCGTACAGCATTCTTCTTGTGCTCTCCGCGTTTTTTACTCTCCCTGTTTAAGGTATAAGGTTAGAACAGTCAGCGGGAAATTACAACAAGGGACGTACTCTGCGCCAGCCTCGACCATGAGCACCGTGTGCCCATCATTCACTAGGATCTTGGCAAACGTGGCACCAAGGGGGCCGGAGCCCACAACTGAGGCAGAAGCTTGTCAGTCTGGACACCACGAAACACATTCAGCGCAGCGGTGAATGGTAAGTACTTACTTAGAGCATCGTACTGGTAGTGGTCCTTCTCGCCCATATTGGGATCAGAGAATGATAGGAAGTCAACACAGCCGGTTCTTTCTCACTTCTGCTGTTGCCACAAACGGAAACAGCAGCTGGCTTGGTCACAATGCATATATACCCAAATTTCCGATCGCCAAGAGAATGGTATGTGTTCGGACTCGAGCTCCGAATGGAGCCGAACTGCTCAGTGAGTCCTGGGGAGACAGATCAATGTATAATCCCGTCTGAATTACGACTGTATGATTAAATCGAAGCGTAAGCTTGAAAGACCGTGAAATAGTGACCGCATCTCTTGCGCCAAGAAACTCTTCCCTTTGATGTAGCGATCTCGTAGAAGATTCGTCATCGTTAGCTTTAAACGGGATGAAAGATCATCGCAGACCGTCCTTAGATATACATTGAGACCGGGTGTTTGCCCTAAATTAGTTAGAGCCTACAATGTATATGTCTTTCTCTTCCTTCTACTCTCTTCTTCAAGCTTAGTGTATTACTCGTAGAGTCGTTACCAGCTACGTACAGTAGTTGCAATAACTGATTGGGGCCGTTATAAGCTTTTCGCATCACACCTCTATCTATCTTCGGATCTCAGATGTAGTCACACAAATCTAAGGTACCTTGCAGCTCTCGCTATCTCCGCCATTTTCTACAGCTAAGCTATGTCTCGTGGTTGTCGCCGCGTTATTAACTTTTCTGAAACTGGACAGTCTACATTCCCACAAAGTCTCTGACATCCGAATATAATACGTTGTGTCAAGCTTGAAGCATAGATACCTAGGAGAGGAAGGGGGAGTCTCTGACATCGCGTCGTCATCGCCCGGACGGCAGTTCCGGTGCTGGCAATGCCCTTCTGCTTACAACGCGATGATAACAGACTTACACCACGATGTCAGACAGCTTACACCACAATGGCAACATAATGGTACCACGATATGACTATTGCAAGCACCAAAATGTAATGTCAAAGAAGCCCCCTCCCCCTCCTAGGTGGATATCATGGGACATGTATGATAACACTGCGTCAACCCATAGCACGAGCATAGAATAACACCGTCTGGAAGGCGTCACGGTGAGTTAAAGGCATCGTAAACGGTATGTCATGACGTTCAACTGATCCGAATCCTGGTTTTCACATGCCGCTGAAGAATTCCGAACATCTATGACGTGCGGGGGCCAGATACGTATAGATCGCGACCTGTGGCCCGGTTTGGTCTATACTTATATTTACCTTAAGATAGGGCTGCTCTCATGGCGAATGCAGGTTTTCACCAATAAGATTCTCCAAGCCTTCCCGAGCCAAGTCAAATCAACACCTCGTCACAGCCTCTATAAGTGCTTGATTTTGTTTTGGGACCGCACTACTATCATCATGCCCCCGGTCACCATGAGTGAACATCGTTCCCCAAAATTCTCCGCAGCAGAAGTCATCCAGCGTGGCCGTACGGACGGCTACTGGGTGCGTGCTTTCCAGTTCTCAGCAGAAGACGAGATGCCAGGAGTGCTTGTGTAAGTTTCTTTTCATGGAATAACTAGGACTAAGTGTCAAGTACATGACTGATCGTGGTCTAGCTCTGGGTTGAACAGCGGAAAGGTTGAGTTCCTGGACAACCCCCTTGCTACGAAGGACTCGGGGGGCCCCAAAGGTAAGGTGAAATCCTGAAGTTTTGGACATAACAGCTAACACAAAATCTCGTAGAGTGGAAAGCGTATCTGGTGGCCCCGGACCCGGAGCACAAGGACCCGAACTTCCCGAAGCACCAGGACCCAAAGCACCAGGATTTGAAGGATCAGAACTTCCACACTCCTGTTGCGGCTATAGGCATGGACATCAGGAAAAACGGTCTCCTGGATGTCGTCATTTGTCACGGGTACGGAGCTACCATGATCGACAGTTGCGATCCCGGTGGCTTTATCTACTGGTACGAAAATCCCGGTCGAGGACGACTCACGGAAAACAAACCTTGGAAGCGACACTACATCGGACAATGGCCAGTAATGCACCGTTTACAAACCGGCCACTTTACTCAGAGGTATGAACCACTTTGTATCTGAACTTGGATCGCACGTAGATTGGCGAAAAAACCAGACTAATAGGTAGCTTAGGTCGTTCTCAGAACTGATCGCAGCGCCAGCAATCCGTGGCCCCAAGGATAAGGTACGTTTGGAATTCAGTATTCATAGCCATCATATACCACGGTGTTGAGCTGGCTGACGCTAGTTGGATGTAGACCACTCCTATACCGATACTTCGTTTTCAGGTCCCAAGTGATCCAATGACCGCGTGAGTTCCATTGGTCACGCAGCTACAGTATGGTACTAGCAGTGAGGGCTAACATGTCCCCTATAGGATGGAATGGCCGCGTGACGTGGTAGACGACCAGAACTTCACTGTGATTCACGAACTCGCGGCCAAAAGGTACGTCAGTCAATGGTTTACGACTCAGCATTCAATGTAAAGTTCTAACTGGACTGCATAAATAGGTTGGACGGCCAATCTGGCTTAGATTCCCTCCTTGTTTCTTCCAGAGAGGGCGTCACCAGACTGTATTACGAAGACGGCCGTTGGAAGAAAGAGCTTATCGGTAGGGGCGAACCGAAGAGAGAAGACCAGAAAGACGACTCCACCACTCCCGGGTCGGGAGATCACTGGGGCACTGGTAGCGCCGACATTGGTAGAGTCGGCAGTGACCGGTATGCCTATGTCGCCACCATCGACCCCTTTCATTCCACAAAAGTCTGTGTCTACACCAAGCACGACGATCCGACTCACCGAGGGTCGAAGTGGAAGCGCCATGTTCTCGATACTACGGAACACCGACGCAGCAGAAGCATTGGGGAGATGGTCCTGGTCACTATGTGACATGCGCTGATATAGATGGTTCGTTGCTACCATGACTGCACCTCGAATAATGTCGTTAGCACCGCTTACCAAACAATAGGTGACGGCGTCGATGAGATCCTCGTTAGCATGTTTGGGCCGCTCGATCGGAATGATGATGGGTCACTCAAGGCTGCAAGTACACCTCACTTATCCTGTTCATGGACAAACGACACGAAATCATGCAACGACGACGATGCTAATTGGGAGCCTGACAGGATCTCCAGAACAAAAACCAGAAAGGAAACAATCCCAACAAGGTACGGCGCCCACTCATGACACGGTATTGGCACTATGACAAGTCAACTAACACTTCGAGAGGGCATATTGTGCTATAAGCCCATCCACCTCGAAGATGGGGTCTTCGCGAAATGGCATCCAATCGTAGAATCCTCTGGAAGATGCGATGTCGGGTAAGTGTATCTTTCTCCGCCGGCGCACATCACACACAGTATTACCTAACTAACATTTGCTCCAGGAACTTTTACGGTAATGGAAAGCGCGATATCGTCTCAATCAGCTATAACGTCAAAGATTACTACCAGGAACTACATCCGGCAGTGAGACTCTACAAGAATCTAACAAGGGACGACCTGCAAACGATCTCCGTCAATTGCCAGAGGCCGACGAACTCCATCTTCGGAACGGTATGGGGGACGATTTCAGGAAAAGAGACCGAAAAAGACGTGCGGACAGACGCCGGGAAAGAGATCATGGTTTACCTTCCGGACCCCGTTAACATCAGCAATCGCGCTCCCGCCGGCCTGATCAAACAGGACCTGATCGAAGTCGCCGACTTCAAAATCAGCGTCGAGGTCCACCCCAGCGGCCGAGAGGTGAAGGCCGAGGCAAATGAGGGCATCAAGGTCTTGTACGGGAGCCTGGCCGATGCGAAGGATCAGAAAGTGAAACGGACACCTCTCGGGACCAACCGATTCCCAGACAAGGAGTCGCTGAAACCTCCCAGACCTGAGCAACAACCCTCAAAGAAAGAACCGGCCAGCCCATCAGTTTACACTTTCACAGCAGATCAATGCTCGGGCGCCATAATCCTCCGCCTGACGCCGACCGACACGACCGACACATTCAAAACTTACCGAAAAGCAACAGACGTCGACGACAAGGTCCAGACTCTTTTCGATCTCGGCAACTTTGGACTAGAGACCCCGAAACTGAAGTTCTCCAAGGTCGAGAAGCTCTGGTGGGGAGAGGAGTTCACCAACGTGGAATTCTACAATCTGACAGGATTTCACTTTCGTTTCCTCGAGACCAAGCAACATGTTGCGCATATGCAGTTCTGGATTGCAGGTATGTTACCGTGTCCAACCGGCGGAAAGAGGGAACGCTGACCAGTAATCCCAGGCCCAAAAGTAGATGCTAGGCTTCATGATCACACCGATCAAGCTTTCAGGGAACTTCACACTTGCCTGTCTCAAGGAACACCACAGGAACAAGTCTCTGGTACTGCTAAGCAGGGCGGGATGGTGGCTCCCAGGAAGGAATACTACAGCAAGTCCTTTGAGGACGTGAAGAAGCTTGAGGAGAAGTTGAACGAGGGGGCATTCGATTACTGCGCGCTGATGCCCCTCGAGGAGCATGGCAAGATCTGGCATACACTTGACGACGGACGAACAATTTATCGTAAGAATGGGACGGTGTCGTACCCGGCTCATGCCTGGAGAGCTGGTGTAGGAAACGCGGGGGAGAATGTAGATGTCTGGATGGCCCTCGAATTTGATGCCCGGGTCTGACGCCACTCTGTCGATCAACCTGCATCTGCGCTCGAATAGCTACCTCGCTTGCAGACCCGCGGATATCACTTGGCAAACACACCATCGTGCTAGGGAGGCGGAGAGGGGGTGGGTGAGGCTTGTGGAGAGAATGTTGGCTATTGAGAAGGGGGAGAGGCCGGTTGCGGGGAGGGTTTTGAGAGGACTGAGGTGTGTGGCGATTAGGAAGGTCGCGGAGCCGATTGAGGTGCAGTTGAGAAGCTCTCCGGCCGAGGAAGAAGGGGGTGAGGGGGTGGATGAGTTAGCCAAGTGATGCCCGCTGGTCTGCGATTTAGGACTCTAGACAAAACCTGATGTTAGTCGATCAATAGATTGTCGTCAGATCACGACATATAGTACGAGGGCCATCCAGACATGTCCATTCGTCCCACACGTTATCCACACCATCTATGAATTCATGACACTGGTCTTTCTTGCATACTGCGTGACGGTCTGACAGGACATCTTGGAGCTGGCCTTCGTGTTTAGTTCGTCATGCTTGGCATACCCCTACCTATTCTCACCCTCATCGTTCGGGAGATCGTCCGCATGTCCCCACTTGAGATAGAAAAGACGACGTCGGCAGCGGTCGTCGATTGCAAGAAACGCGCATTCAGAATGCCGCATGGCACTAAAGTCCGGTGCTGCTATTGTATTAACGCAGCACCCCCTCA